TCGAACAGCTTACCCAGGATCGAGGTAAGACTGACTGGCTTGTAGTTCCCCTGTAGTTAAACTAGAATAGATATGAAGTAGTAGGAAACAGTTTCAAACTACTAAAAATATGAGCATCACAAAATTCATTGGACTAGTCTGAATAAGATACTACAGCAGGTCTAGTATTCTAATACAAGGTCTGACATGACCCACATTCAGTCTTGGCCTGCTTTTCTCTCTGGTGTCCTGGTGGACCCCATGGTCTCACTTGCTCCAATCAGTCCTCAGGCCTCTTTGAGCTCAAATCAGTTTTCAGGTACTACTGACATGCCCCTTTTCCTTCTCCACCCCTCCCCACCCTGCCCTTTAAGAAAAATAAAGCCGAGAAAAGTCCTGGGACTTACCACTCGTGGTGCAACCTTGGGGCTTTGGGGGCTCCTGAAGAGCCCCTCACATGACAGGGGGCAGTGGGGATTGCCCCGCGCCGGCAGGAGCAGTGAGTCTGGGGGTTTTTTCAGGGTTTTTTTCCCTTAAAGGGCCGGAGCGGGCCCATGTGGGGCTCCCATGGGAGGCCTGGGGGGGCGGGGGCTTGTGCAGAGCCCCCCATGCAGCCTGGGGCAGTGGGGGGCAGCGGGGATTGCCCCCCGCCCCCCGCCAGCACCTGCTAAGCCAGGGCTTTTTTCCCCCCCAAGTGCCGGGAGCTGGGGCAAGCAGGGCAGCCATTGTTGGACTGGGAGAGGGGCAGGGGATGGGCCTGGCTTGGCTGATTCAGAGATTCGGCTGCTGCCCAATCTCCAAATCAGATTCATCTGAATCGGATCAGCCGAAGATTTGGAGAGCTTTGAATCGATTCAGACCTTTAAATTGGTCCCCTGATTCGATTCGGGTTTGGAGATTCGGCCACCGAATCGGGCTGAATCTGCTCCGAAGCTTCGCACAGCCCTACCTGCCAGGACTTCTTCGGCAGTCATTGAATGCAGCGTGGCACACTGCTATGGGCGAGCCAGAAGAAAACTTTCCTGTGCTTTTACATTAAGAACTGAGTTGATCAGGATGACTGTCAATCTCCCCCTGAATTTTAACAGCTAACAAAACACACCGACCTCTCCATGTTCCTGCAGAGAGGAGCAGGACAGCAATCTTTTCCGCTAGCTGTGATTTTAGCACCCTTGCTATACTCCGTCAGTGAAATGTTTCCATGGAACGGCTTTTAGGAGCCTGTCTCTGAAGCGATGTGTGTGTTTCCCTCCATCTTCTCATGGTAGTGGAGGATGGGATTGGTAATATCTGTACAAGATACGATACGTGACTGTGCTCTCCGTTCCAGGCTGCTGTCATTTCAGCTTGGGTGTGACCGCAGCAAAGTAGCAAACAAACAAAAAAAACCCATCAGGATCCAACTCTGTGGTCTACCTGCAACTGGATTTGGGGAAACTCCAGGAGCTAAGTGGCTAGGCGAGGTGCAGAGACCCTCTCCTCCCACCCCAGTACCTCTAACCATTTCTGGAGCATGGTTATTCATCAATAAAATGAGGTCAGGATAATAAGGCTATGCCTGTTCCAGGCACTGCACATACAGGATAGGACAAGCTCACAGCAGGTAAAACCCAAAAGGATTTCTTAGAAGGGTTAAAATGTCCAAGCCAGATGGCTGATGTCTTCTCTTGTCCCTGTCACTTCTGCAGATGGGGGAGGCTCTGGTTCATCTGGGGCAATTAACAGGGGTGCAGCCCTGGCCCTGAAGGGTCTCAGCAGCACCCACCGTATCCCTGCAGAGCTGGGAGAGATGCTGACCCTGCACCGTGTGCTGCATCCTTGGGTTGGGCCCATCCCTGGAGCCTGGTGCTTTTGCTCCCCCAGATCAGGAGAGGGGACCGAGGACCTCCTTGCCCAGGACACAGGTTGCTGAAGGTTGGGTCCAACCCAGGTGGAGCCCTTGGCTGCCTCCAGCCTTGTCCCCAGGAATGAAGGCTTTCTGGACTGGGATGCCCCAGCTTTCAGGGCCTTTCATCTAACTCATGAGTCGCCACCAATGGAGGCAACGGGGAAACTGTGCCAAGTGACATTTCCCGGCTACTGGCTTTCACCTGGTGGCCCTGATGGTGGCAGCTGAGGGCCTCCCAGTCCCTGGTGCATTTTCCCTTGCAGGCGGGAGCATTCGAACCTTGTACAGATGGGGAACAGAGACCGAGTGAGTAAACAGCTTGGCCTAGAGCACACAGGAAGTCTGTGGGGGAGCCAGGAATAGAACAGAAACACACATTTTTGAATACTTTGAAAGCGTTTTGGATGAGGAACACATGGGTTTAGCACTCTCCGATCCCCAGTCACTGCCAGACCCACCACCCCCTCCCTCCCCAAAGCAACATCCTCTTACTCGTTGAGGAGGTGGCTGTCTGTGAAGGAGCTCTGTGCATGTGTGCATGGGGTGGGAAGGCATCTGCTTGTGGACTGTCCCTATCTGCTAGGCTATGGCTCCTACCTCCTGTTGGATAAGCAGCTGGATCACTTATGTCATGTGGTTTCCAGCCTGAATAGGTCAATTGGAAGAAGGAAGAATGGCTGTCTTTGCTCTTATTCCTCGTGTGGATGGTGGACCATTTCTCCAATTTGTCAAGATCATTTTGAATTCTGAGCCCATCCGCTAAACTGCTTGCAGTCCATCTCAGTTTGGGATCATCTGGATGGACTCTCTCGGCCATCCTCCAAGATGTTCATGGAAATATTGAATAGTACAGAACCCAGGACAGCCCCCCGTCGAGCACTGCTTGATACATCTTTCCACTTTGAGAGTGAGCCATTCATAATCGTTCTTTCAATACAACTTTCCAGCCACTGGTGCGCTCATCACAGTAGTTTCATGCGGACAAATATTTCCCCAATGTACGTAAGGAGGCCACGTGAGAAAGTATCAAAAGCCTGACTAAAGTCTAGTTACAGCAAGTCTTCTTTCTCTCGTATTCACAAGGTCTGTTCACCTGTCCAGGAATCAAATGAAGCTTGTTTGACATGACTTGTTCTTAGTAAATTCATATTGGCTCTTACCTATGACCCCCTTCTGCCTTCTTGACATTGTTTGTTATTAACTTTCCTTCCTTGATGGAAGTTGACCAAATCATTCCTTGGATTTCCTCTTGTCAGCAATCTGCTTACAGAACGTTTTCTTGCTTTTATGGCCCGTGCTAGTTGAATCTCATTTTGTGCCTTGGCCCCCTGATTTTGTCCTTTCTTGGTCAAGCTACAGTTATACTTTTACATTTATCCTTCAGTATTTTACCCAGCTTTCACTTCTTGTACAATCCCTTCTTGCGTTTCAGGCCATTGAACAGTTCATGATTTAACCAAGTTCGTCTTTTCCTTTACTTCCTGTCTCTCATTCACATTACAACAATCTGTGTTTGTGCTGTTAACGTTGACAGCTTTCCTAAACTCCTTTCCTCAATTTGCTTCTCAATTTTCTGAGTCTATTGAAGTGGAAATCCCTTGATTTAATTCTTCCAACTATTTTTTTTCCAGCCACTCAGTTGGTCTAATAAAAGATATTGCATCTACCCAAAGAACCTCGTTTGCCTATGTCCTTAGGCCAACACGGCACCACCCAAAAACCTTGCTTTATTCTGCCATTCTCCTTCCTTCCCTTCCTAAGAATCAGAAACTCCAGCATCTCAAAATCATTTCCACCCGACTTGTTTTCTACCTTCTTTTCCAATCTTGAAATGTCTCCCTTCTAGTTTCTTTTTTCACCTTCTGTATCAAAAAATTGTCCCTGACACATTCCAAAACCTTGTTGTTTCTGCTGTGTAGCACTTTCCCGAGATGCCTGGGCAAAATCCCCCTTAGCACCAAAGCTCACACGTTGACTGATATTTTTTGTTGAGCCAAAAAACCCTCACCCACTCCCCCTTCCTGGTATGGTGGTCTGTAATGGGCCCCACCATGACATCACCCTTGTCCTTCTCGCCATTTATTCTTATCCTGAGACGTACATCAAGGAAACCCAGCTTTCTTCTGAAGTCCCGGATGCAGTGGGAGAGAGCCCTGATGTACAAGGCAACACCTAGTCTTTTTCTTCCTTTCTTGCATCTCGAGTAGAGCCAAGGAGGTGATCCTCCCCCTCTACGCGACGCTGGTCAGGCCACAGCTGGAGTATTGTGTCCAGTTCTGTGCGCCCCATTTCAAGAGGGATGTGGACAATATGGAGAGGGTCCAGAGGAGGGCCACCCGCATGATCCGGGGACAACAGGGCAGACCCTACAGTGAGAGACTGCGGGACCTGAACCTATTCAGCCTCCACAAGAGAAGGCTGAGGGGGGACCTGGTGACCGTCTATAAACTCACTAGGGGGGACCAGAAGGGTTTGGGGGAGACGCTGTTTCCCCTAGCGCCCGCTGGCATAACAAGGAGTAATGGGCACAAGTTGATGGAGAGGAGGTATAGATTGGACATCCGCAAAAACTACTTCACGGTTAGGGCGGCTAGGAGCTGGAACCAACTTCCAGGGGAAGTGGCGCTGGCCCCTACCCTGGGGGTCTTTAAGAAGAGGCTGGATGCCTACCTGGCTGGACTCATTTGAGTCCCGTTTCTTTTTTTGGGGTTTTTTGTTGTTCTCCCGCCCTGGCGGGGGGTCGGGCTAGAAGATCTACTAGGTCCCTTCCAACCCTTAATCTATGAATCTATGAATTATCCTTCCCGTACAAGCTGTGCCCTTTGCTACCAATACTGAAGTTACACGAATGGTGTAGTTGGCGCGGGTCCTGCTTTGAGCAGGGGGTTGGACTAGATGCGACCTCCTGAGGTCCCTTCTGACCTGAATTTTCTATGATTATCACATCAAGCCTCCATCCTGACAGTTACATCACAGTGCTAATTATATACAAAGGACATATCTATGCTGTTTTCCTGAGAGAGAGCCACCATGAAGTCCCTCCCTGTCCATCTGTTCGTGCTCTGGGCAATCCAAATCCAAAAATCAGGCAATACAAAGTTGACACTAAGCTGCACGCTCACAGCAGCCTTGGAGTGGCCCAGTGCTGCTCTAAGGTGACCACATTGCCTTACATCCAAGATTTGGAAAGCTGGGAGCAAGGAGGCAGGACCTGCTTCCTGATGGCATTGCCAGGCTCAGTGCAGACAACCAGTTCCTCTTGTGTATCCCCCATCCTTTTGCATTATAGTTTCATAGTAGCTAGGGTCAGGAGGGATTAATACAAGGACATCCAGGATGTTCAGCTGATTGAGCGCTGCTCTGCTTCTCAGCCCTCCAGTGAGCCTATTATGGTGACCCATATTATGCCCATTTCTTAGGTTTTACCTGTGGTTTATACCACCTACCCATGGGGTTTGTGTCCCCCGCTCCTGTTTAATGCCCTCATTTGGTTATCAAGCTATGGTCCTGTGATTAGACACAAACGTAACCTCACAGATCATATGAGCAATCCCCCACCCAAGCACCAGCCACCCACCCACAGGAGGCTGAGAAACATCCCTGTAGATTACTGTTCAATGCTGGTCCTGGATACTGGTGGGCAGAAGCTCTTTTCTTTGTAGGAGGTTTCAGACCACGTGCTCAGCGAAGCAGGGGGACTAGTGCATGGCTTGCTGGGGTCACAGAGGCACATCATCTGCATCGCTTTATTTTCTAGGGTTCACATAGCCTAGTCACAGAGAGTGTAGAGGAATTAGGGCACTTCTGGGTAATACCTGATTGCAAAGACTTCATGGCCTTTCCCAGGAGGAAAGAGCACTTCTGGGTATTACCAGGGGCATGTCTGAGCTTCACAAGGGTAGAAGATGCTGGAGGAGGGTTTCAGGCGGTAGGAGGAGTGGAAGTGGTTATTACTTGGATGGGTGGGGGATTCCAGAGACGATGGAAAGAGAGGAAGGGGATTCACCTGGCAGGAAAGGATGGAGAAGGGGCTGTGAGCTGTGCTGTGGTTTCTACTCACTCGTGGGGGAGGAGGTGAGTGGAACAGGCAGAAAGTGTGAGGAGGAGGCTGCATAAGTAACCCAAAAGGTGGCTGGTGACATCAGCTGTCTCCCACCGGGGCACAGTCCTCCTTGGGCATGCTTGTCTCGAAACTGCACCGTCGGGTCTCATTTGCTCCATGACTTAGTGCCGGGGTCTGCCAGAAACTTCAGTGGTGATGAAAAATGGGGAAGATAACAGGTCAGTCCCCCAGTGTGTAACTTCTGGAGGAGATAGACATCCAGTGGGGGTTTCTAAGTAATTCCTCTGCCAAAAAGCAGCTCACATAAGCTCAGCCTTGTCAATGCAAAATACTTCTCCTGCCTAGCTGGGCAGACCAGGGAAAGATTAGGGTGCCACTATGCTGGGAACTGGGCAAGCAGTTGCAGGCTTGGTGCTAAAGAGGTTGCAACCTGGGATGAGAGCCAGTAGGCGAGTGACAGAAAAGGAGCGGGTGCTATGGATGGGATAACATGAGCTGGTGTCTGTTGGCAGAGCTCTGCAGGGATGCTGGTGCCCCTGGGCACTTCCTGGCATGCTGCCCTCTTGTTGTAATGAGGTCGCTGTTACTCTCCTCTAATCGGGCATGTAAGGTTGGAATGGAAACACTCGTGGGCCCCGACTGACGGTGGATGGGCAATGCCCAGTGGTCTGACACTACAGCAGACCATTTATACTGCAAATGATTTAAAGAAACTGAAATCCCAAATAGAGTAAATCAGTGGGTCCACACTGTCTTAGACTCCAGGACCCCTTGTTAGGCTCGAGTCCCACTGAGAAAATGCTAGCTCTTTGTTTTGACTGCAGACTAATCCTGGAGCAATTTTTCTGTTGCCAGGAACTCAGAAAGACCACAACAGGGCAGCATGCGGAAATCTCTGAATTTAGTACATGAACCGTGTTTCCACAGCACCCTGGTTGAGAATCACTGCATTAACTACTGCCCTGAACATCCATTTCAAATATAAGTCAGCAAAAAAAACAACAACAAAAAAGAAAAAGATCATACATAAAGCTGCAATAAATGTCCTTTCAAAAGCCAAGCATGAGGCAGGTCCAAACACTACTTCACAATAACCTTGTCTCCACCTGGGGACTGGCAAGTACATTTTTTTAAATAGTTATTTGCCCCATAACTGAGCTTCTACCTTACTGGTGCAGTTACCTTTTTACTATGGTCACTATATTCACTTCAACTTGATATTCACTGAGTGCGTTTACACATTCATTAATGCACAGTATTTATTACTCATTAATGTGCCGCAGTTATTGCTTAAATTTAGTACTTGTATAATCGAGTACTAAATCAAGTACTATGCTCAAGTACTAAATTAATGTGCAGTAGTACTGGCACATGCCTTTTTAGTGATGCTACAGTAGCCTAATAATACTGTGCGGTAGCATATCAACAGTTTTTGTCCTGTGATGTGCTACTGTGCAGTATTATTAGGCTGCTGAGCAGTTATTGTCTCATGTAGATGTGCCCACTGAGGTTCAGATTTGGGTGGAGCTGAGTACTACTTGGATGGGCTCCTATCAGTGGCTCCTCCCTGCCTCTCACTCAAACCCCATTTATACAAGCAGTAATTCCTCTTGCGTTTTGGAAACACACCCAAGCAACCTCACTGATTGCATCTTGGCCAATGTGTCCAACTTTTTCTTCAGTGATATTTCTTCTCTGTGTCGTCTTTTTTCCCTATCACCACCCTGGCCAGCTCTCACTCCTCCCCCTGCCCATTATATCTATCAAACTGAAGTGTTCTGCCTTATGCTTAATTGCCTGACCCCATTCCCTCTCCTCTTAATTTTATCCTTCACACTGTCACATGGGTTGCTGCTTATTCCTCATTCATCTTCTGCAGTATATTCATACATTTTTAAATGAGTAGAGGGATGGCGGGGATGATGTAGTTGGGGCTGGTCCTGTTTGGAGCAGGGGGTTAGACTGGATGTGACCTCTTGAGGTCCCTTCCAGCCCTCCTGTCCTCTGATCCTTTGAAAGAGCTGAAGATCTGTATGAGCAGCAGGCCACAGACCTAGCTGTAGAGCAGGGCTTCCCAAATTTTCCTCATCGTGACCCCATTTAAACACTGGACATTTTTTTGTGACCCCCCCCAAAAAGATGCAGACAAGATCAACAAGTCATAAATATGGCACTGTCATGTTTATGGTCTTTATATTGTTCATTTAAAACATTTACAGTCATTTTAACTGTTGCATAGTCATAAACAGGAAGCCTGTTCACCATAATTGGTCAACACCATTGAGCATCTTTGCAACCACATTTTTTTATCGTTGCAAACTCAAATGGGGGTGATGTCCCCAAGGCTGAGAACTGCTGCTGTCGAGAGAGGAAGTAGGTTAGGTACTGGGCAGTTAAGAAGTTGAGTTGAGCTGAGCAGCCTGGGAAGTCGAGAGAGGATCCCGATGGGGCTGGGAATGAGGGGGACATAGTTTCATAGTTTCATAGATTTAGGGTCGGAAGGGACCTAGTAGATCTTCTAGCCCGACCCCCCACCAGGGCGGGAGAACAACAAAACCCCAAACATCATACGAGGAGGAGGCATGAGCTGCATCTCTGGTGTCATCCATGCCCTAGATGTGCCAGTGTCTATTAGAGCTGGTGTATGTGAGCTGGGAAGAGACACTGGTCTGGTCTTAGGGAAAGTGTGTGGGCTGGGTGTTATACATCCCATCCTTTCTGCAGCCTCTTTAACGTTGCTCAGGGCAGGATCAATAACCCAGCTGTATTAAATTTTCCCCACTGCTCTCCTTTCAGCCGTGGCAGGACCCTGTCAAGCTTGGCGGCAGGCCATGCGGCCTCTGCCCCACGGGGTAGCGGGAATCACAGGGAGGCATTCCTCGATTTCCACAGGCAAAGTTGCCTTTCAAGGCTTGTAACAGGGAACAAGATGGCACCTGCGTTTTCCCTCACAAAAGGAGACATTTTTGAGCTAGTTCAGAAAAACATAGATGTAAAAGCATCTCATAAAGGAAGCAGGATAGCTTAAAAGCAGTGCAAGGCTCTCAACCTTGGTCTTCCCTGGGATGAAAAGACGGGTCTGGGAGCAGAGTCCAGGGTTTAATTTCGAGGACAGTCGCTGTGAAACAGAGAAACTGCCCCCTTATGATATAGTCCAGTCAACTGCTCCTCCAGCTCCCCTAGCGTGACCAGCGTGATGGCGTTTTTGTCGTTCTCCGCAATGACCGCCCAGGACCTCCTGTGGTTGTTATCGACCTCACAGCAGGCGGCAGACCAGATGTGGCTGGGCTTGTTGACTCGGCCTTTAGCTATATAATTGTTGCCGGGAACCACTCCCACGACAACGTAGGTGTTGGCACAGTCTGCAGTCCTGGTGGCCATGACTGATTTCTCATAGTCGTTCCATTGCCCACCGTTGAGTTTCTCATACTGTGGCACGATGTTGGTCAGGGTGAAGGTTGAGGCCTTGCTGTCAGGGTTGGGTTGGTGCCCACTGGGGTTCAAATGGCCCCGGTTGCAATTAGTAAGGTTCTTGTAATCTTGGAAAACGGCCTGACTTTTTTTAATCTCATTTTGGCTGACATTGAGCATAGTCATGAGGGTCAATTCTGGTTCCATTTCCTTTGGGTAACTCGACCCCATCAGCTAGGAAGTAGAAAAGAAATCAAAGTCAGGCACATGTGTAGGAGAAATGGAGCAGGTGACCCGAGAAATCTGCATTCTTTTGTGGGCAATTCATTCGTCGAAAAAAAAATACCAACATGAAGGGGATTTAGAGATGACTATTCCCACCTCATACCAACATGAAGGGGATTTAGAGATGACTATTCCCACCGCACTGCTCCAAAGAGAGAGGAGAACCCCTACCGGACATGCAAAAATGCCCCTGCAGGAAAGCAAGCCCTTAACAACCATGAATTTGGCAGCAGGCCCAACCCTGTGCCTTTAAGCCTGAATCATTAGAGTTAATATATAATCCCAGCTGCCTATGGAGAGTGGGTTGGTACCGTAGCTCGTTCCACTGTTTGTCCAATCCATCAGTTGCTTGAGTCCCAATAATAGTAAATGATACGGATACCGAATAAGTGAGATACTTTGCAGGGAGTTCTGTGCCTCCCTGTGACGCTGTGAACGAAGCAGGGGTACATGCAGCTGCAGCAAACAGCTGCACAGGACCACTGAGGTGCTCAAGCTGTTGCTTCAGCTTTTATTTCAAAGAGCGCTGCTTCTCTGATCAGCTCTGTGGGCCCACCAATGTGCTCCAGCTGAGCGGAGCAACGGTGCCCTCTGAAGGAAAAGCCACAGCTAATAGCTCGGTGGCCCATCCTTGTTTTATCGACCCATTGAGAACGAAGCGGGTTGCACGCCATCCAGGCACGAATGATCCAGGCTCTGCTGCAGTCTGTGCAACTGTAGCACCTTTCCCTTGAGGATCCCAAAGCACTTTACCAAGATAAAGCAGCTCTCACAGCAGTCTGTCTAGAGGAACAAACATGCCGTGACTCAGGGTATGTCTTCCCTGTCCTTCTGGGGCAGGGATGCTTGCACACACCCCACCTACCTGCTCCCACTTGCATACGCTAACCCCAGGCCAGTGGTGATGAAGCCACCCTAGGGACACCCCCGCCTGCCTCTCTCAAGCTGACCAGAGACAGAGGCCTCAAGAGCAGCTGCAAGGGGGTGCCCCAAGTGTCACCTCACTACCAGAGTTTCATGTGTGCTGCGTTTGGTTGGATATGTCCAAGAATGTCTATTTTTGAGACTGCCGGTGCAGGGACATGGTGCAGACACACCCTTAGCTGCACAGCAAGTCAATGGAGAAGTGAGGAATGGGAACTAGCCCCTGGAGCTCCCACTGCTCTGCTGTAAGTGTGCATCCCTGCTACTGGGATCCCTGCCACAGCTATTGGGCAGATCCTCCCATCAGATCCCCCCCTGCTATTGGGATCCTACAACACAGGGAATTCCCAAAAGCCAGTCCCACTTGCGTGTGTCCATGTGTGTGGGGAGGAGGCGAAGGGTTCGGGGGCAGGCATGTAAGTGGATTTATTGTACCCTTCAGTTCTGACGTGTCCAGGAGTGTGCCCACTTGTACACTAGCAAAGATGGGAACCTACCTGGGGCTCTACCATCCAGATGTTAGGCCTCTTCCCATGACTCGGCTGGTACAGATAAGCAGAGTAGATTGGGATACGCCGGTTCCTGTCATATAGGGTGGCATAGTGGTACTGGTTCTTGTACCGCTGGCAAATCCTGGCCGCGCTGTCCGGTTCGAGGGCATCGCCTGGGGGCGTTCTGCCGAAGAAAAACTGAGGGCACGTGCCTTTGAAAGACGTCACCACCTCGGTGCTTCCCAGCCGGAGGCAGCACAGACAAACCTGGAGCAGGACCAGTACCAGCAGCATCCTGGGGAGTGGGTAGGTGCTGCCCAACCTAGAGGACAAATACACAGTGACTTCATATTCAACTTGGAGCCTGGTCACAGCCTGGTTCTCCAGGGGAGCAGAGGGTGTAGAGGGTGCACCCAGAGGGTCGGGGCCAAGGCATAGCCACTTTACGTGCTAAGCATGTACCCTTATAAAGGGGACATGGATATGGAAGTTGGTGCTCCCACTTGTGCACACAGAGAAGGAGGTGGGGCAGGAGCCAGCGTCAACCCTTGTTCCTGACCGAGTCACTGTATGAGGAGTCACGAGGAGGGGATGAGGTGGCTGATTTCTATATAAGTGCAACTGTACTGGCCCACCGATACCATCTGGTTGAACAGAAAGCCACTCTCCTGACTTGTTTCTGTGGATAAAATCCAAGGGAAGGATTATGGTTATTCTCATTCATATTCTTATTCATATTTCTGGCATTACTGTAGCACCTGGGGGGACTATGGACCCCATTGTACCAGATGCTGTAGAAACACTGGCCAAAGAAAGTTGGTCTCTGCCCACAGGGCTCACAATGGAAAATAAGAGGCAGCAGAGAGATGCAGGAAGACAGAGACAGTGAAACCATGAGACAGTATTAGTCAGTGCAACGGGCAGCAGCTTAATTGCTGTCAAGTTTTTGGAGGCATCGTAGCCATTATCAAGGAGCGGGGTTAAAGGATAAAGAGGCAGTTTTGTGGCTGTTTCTGGGCATCTCCTCTCAAGACTGCAGGTGGGCTCAGCAGCCCTAAATATACAGAGTTTGGGGCATGATTTCCCCAAGGCTTTTTCATCTGAGAGGAGGATTAGACCCAGTCGTTCACATTAGGAGCACTGCAGACCTCCTGACTACTAATGACCCACCTGCCTGCCCTAAGCAGCTAGCAGGATCACTGTTTGGAGAAAGCCCACCACAAAACCCCCATGACAACACCCACACCTCCTAGATGGTCTATCTGCTGCCAGATGTATCCCGAGATGCAAGAGAAACTGGCCCCAATCTCTGGCTCTTCCTTTCTTCTAGTTTCCCTAAGATCAGCTAACTCTTGGGTGTCAAGGGAAAGCAAGTTGAAATAACTTTTCCTTACAGCCTGTACAGTCAACACCTGTTTCACAGGTTGCCATAACAGAAAGCTTTGTACACCATGATAAAAAACTGTCCCCATCCAACAGTACTGAGATAGCACCCGCTGAGTGTAGGTGATATAGCAGCTATACTATGCCCAGGTTCGATCTAACTGGGAATTTAAGACATAATCCAAAGTCCTTTGCTAGTCCATTAACTTGAATGGTCTTGGCATGCACTGCATTGGGGTGGATTAAGAGTCCTGGAAGTACATTATGTTTTTAGGTATCCCCACTTTTTCATGCTGAGCCAGTTTCTTGGCTTCTGACTTGTCTCCCATCTGGGCCTTGAGATCTAGAAATTTGAAGGTATAAATAACACAATTTTTTGAAATATAAAGAAACCGACTTACCAGAAAAAAACAGCTGCACCCAAATCTGCTACTTTGCACAAGTCTGTTCAGGCTCGCAAGTGTTCAAATTCGCAGTCTCAGTGAAGCCAGCTGCAACCCTGAGGCTGTTTATATATGTTCCTGGAGAAGGAAGGATTGTGCGTCATTAAATTTTATCCAATTTCTCAGGTGGTATTTGGAGTGCAGTTCTCCAGGGGCAGAGCTGGGGCCAGTGTCACACTTTTACTGTTCAATACATCATTCACAAGGTCAGTGATAGCACTTCTCCCTGTAAGCTCCCTCAAAGTTTTTATAAGATAATAGTAAATTTCCTTTGTAGGTTTTGTGGGAATTCTCCAGGTGACTTGGCAGCTGGTATTTATATAGGTATTATGCAAGAGCTTTTCTGTCATCGATAGCAACCCTGAACCATAGCCTGTTTTCCAAGGTCATGGGACAAACTCCAGATCTGCGTAACAGAGCAAAACAAAACCTTGAATCTACATGTTTTTGGATCGGGGCGGGGGGGGGACTCCGAATCCACATCTGGATTTGAATTTTTCTGAATGTTAAGCATGTTTGGACCCTTTAACTTGATTTGGGATAGTTCAGTGTAGAAGTAGGTTTGAGCTTTGAACTCAAATGCAAATCTGGAGCATTTTTCTGTAGCATTTTGTCCTTGGTCTGTATCTACCTGATAGAATAACAACCCAGTAGACCATCTATGAAGTAACATAACATTGATATCGTCTCTGCCCATACAGGATTGTAATCTTCTCAGAAGAAATCCAATATCAGGGTCTTTGCAGGAAGGTTCTTAAAGGGGATGATGCTACTATTTTAGGGGCTAGGACAAGTGTAGCAAGCTTCATAGTAAGTAGACATAAAGAACCTTATTGGAAGGTAAGAGTATACATATACAAATAATTTCCTTGCATTAAATACTGCATCTTTCTCCAAACATCAACTCCACTTTTGCAAACTTCAAAAGACGTAGCTAGTCATTTTGTGACATAGCTTGCAGCATGTGGTGATGATGTCAAAAGATGTGTGTTACATAATGTGTGAAGCCACCAGGGATACCGTATATCAAGCCCACGTTCTGGTCTAATGCTCACCAGAGTCTTATGCAGCCTCCCTACAGCATCAGAACAGCTAGGCTCATTATTTTCAGTTATCCCCAACTTTGCTTTTTTGCTTTCTGAGCAGATAGGTATAGGCCTCTCTGGAGTATTGAAGAATATATATACTGCTCACACAAAGGCTTTGTGAAAGCAGCTGGCTGGAGTAGGCTTGACCGGCAAACCTGACTGATGTATGAACTCCTTATGTAAGCCAAATGGGTTACGACACGGGCCAGATGTACACTCCTGTCGTGAGATGGGAGGAGGGGATAGCTGTACAAAGTGCTACATGGTTGAGTACTGGGAGGATAAGGCTGGATGGGAACACCCATGTCAGGATGTGGAACAAGCCCATAATACAGGATGGCTCAAGATATTCAAGATACTGCTGGAATGTAATATGTAATTTGTTTTGACCACTGTATAAATGGAGAATTAGAAATAAGGGGAATTTTGTATTGGCCTAGAGGAGCTGACATGGGGTTGCCTGGTCACATCAGATCACGACTGTGTTAGGGTCATGCCTTGCAGACAATGAACCTGGTCGAACCTTTGCTCCCGGACTGAGCCTGTGGTCATTTTTTAAAACAAGATTGGTGTCGGGATCCCCCGTCTGTGACTTTTTAGAGCGCCACAGCCCTTGGGTCTTCAACACCGACAACATGATAACTCCCAATGAGGACAGCGATGGAGGCAACAGGGGCCATTCTGTGGGTGATAAACATGCACCCATGAAAGGGAATGGGAGTTGACACGGTGCATTTGGCCAACGGTATGACTATATACACCTACAGAAAGCAGAAAGCAGTAGGACCCATACCCCCATCACGGTCCCTAAGGGCCTTCTTCAGGACCTGCTGGTAGATACATTGCCAAACACTATGCAGCAACTGAGTGACACTGGTACAATCTGAGTAGCAGATTTCAAACCACTTTTGGAGGAGCTGCCTTGTTGTGTTGAAAGACGGCTCAGGGAAGATAAACATTGCTTGCTTGCTTTTTTTGTGGAACATCCTTGGGAAATTCCTAGGTTAGCTAACAGCTGGTCTGGAAAGAGAAAATATTTATTTTGTATATCTTCATGACATTTATGCAGCAATCATTCAGAAAAGATCTTATTGCCATTCTGTGGGAAGTCTCTCTGTCAGGAGCAGACTAGGATGCCCAACATTTTATCACCTGCATTTCGCAAAGCTCCAGTAACTTGGTTTTTCAATAAACCAAAGAGTACAATAGCTTGAGAACATGCAAAGACCCAACAGAAGGAAAAGTTAAGATCTAAGAATCATGTATCGGGAATCACTGTTTGTGTACCCTATATCACCCCTGGTTTTTATGGTTATGAATATCTGAATTGTAATGCCTGATCCTACATGGGACATAGATTTATTTATCTGCAGTTCCAAGCAATGGGATTAATAATTCAGTGGTTTTATCAACAAACCTTGATGGCACTCACTACCAGTTTGAGGTGCTGCTTTCCAGGCCAGCTGGGTATTCCCAGGGCTCAGACAACTGCGTGCCCTTAGCTGCAGCTCATTTGTATCATTAAAACCTGCAACTTTTCCAGTTCCTGGATGAGTGGCTCCAAGAGCTCCATTTTACAATAGGGCCCTTCTTGCCCTCCAGAAGAGTTGAACCCTCCTTTCAGTCCAGGGGTCTGAGGCTGATCAGGAATATAGCTTACCCTATAACTTAGAATCGTAAAATCATAGAAAATGAGGGTGGGAAGGGACCTCAGGAGGTCACAACTAGTCCAACCACCTGCTCAAAGACGGACCAGCCCCAAGTACATCATGCCAGCCAGGGCTTTGTCTAGCCAGGTTTTGAAACCCCCCAAGGATGGAGCTTCCACCACCTTTCTGAGTGACCTGTCTAGTGTTTTACTACTTTCCTCGTGAGAAAATTCTTCCTTATGTCTAACTTAAACTTCCCTTGCTGCAGCTTGAGCCCATTGCTCCTTGTCCTGTCTTCATAGGGGTCGCCCAAGACATTTGAGAGTGTCAGTCTGTCTGCCACAGCACAAGTTCACACTGTGAAGGAGGGCTTCACAGTAGGGCTGTGCGAAGCTTCGCCAGCTGTTTCGTTTCGACACTGTTTCGACTCGTTTCAAGCGCAAAACTGCAAAAAACGAAGGGCTTCAAAACAGCTTTGAAACGAAACAGAACAGAACGGCGATTTCGAAATGAACCAAAACTCAAAATGAAACACTGCTCTATCGAAATGTCGACGTGGAAGTCAAAGCAGAACAGTGCTGTTTTGCACAGCCCTACTTCACAGGTCTTTTCCAGGCTTTGCTGCATCTAGCAATCTGACCCACATTCCCCAGTCCTTTAATCAGTTTTACTCTTAAGCGTCTTTCTCAACCCCATCCTTTGGGAGTCTGTTCTCTGTACTTTTTTTCATCTTGGATATGTTTCCTACAGAACACAAAACTATAGCTACTGCAGGATATAATGGTCATATGCACTACTTTTCCCCTAAGGGGAGGGTGGATCCCAGTAAAAATGACTTGCTCCTCGTGTATTGTATACACTTTTATAGCCAACAAAATGCTTTAAAGAATACAAATAATGGGATCAAAAATAAGGGTGAGAGCATGTACCATGGTCCATAAGGTAGCCGAACTACTGCCCAGTTCTCTCACTGTTTTAGCAGCACTGTTGCAATACCCAAACAGTCATGAATCAGAAGTGGCTTGGAGGAAGGAGGAATAATAACTAATAGAAGATCTTTTTGATCATTTGCAGATTTGTTCGTGCCTACCCAGCTGGAAAATTGCTGTTACGCTGTTCCACAGCGCTCATTTACATAAAGATAAATATTTAATTTATTGATTTTCTTTCCAACTTCCAGGGTTACGTGGCGGCTATCCCAGTTATAAGAAAACAATTGTACATTTGCACGCACATCTCTACCTATTTAAATGCCCACAGTGCCCATAATTATAAACAGACGCGATGAGCACAAGGAAAGTCAGAGGTGTGACCAGTCACACTTGACTATAATTTGCTCTGCACACCACTATGCCAATGGTGACCCACTGGAGGAGAATATGGTAATCTCATGTTCACAGTCCCAGACCACCATGAGGATTTGTTGTTTCAGCCCAAATCCTTCAGGCCTTCAGTTTGTTAACACAGCTCCTCTCTCGCTCACTCGCATGCCTGGATCCTATGCAGCTCTGCCTTCAGTTGTTTGGGGTTTTTTTAACTGGTAGGAATTAAAATGATTCAATGGCAGACTAAGCAGCATTACAGTTAAGCACGCAAGGTGGCATTTCTTTTGCAGCCTTCAGCCATTTGGTGGCAATTTCTTTGTTTTTTAAATCAGATAAGTTCCTCCCATCTCCGGGGATAGTGGGGCTAACGAAAACCAAAGGGAAGTCCTGACTATAGGGTTCTCTCCTAAAAATATTGGCTCTGCATATTCCTACTTGAGGGGTTTTGACACCTCCTGGCTTGAAGCAATGGGTGACTTGTTACCCAAGAGCACTGCATCCTCCCTGTCAGGAAGCACAGAGGCTCTTGGAGGACAAGAAAAGTTTTTTTACTGGTCTCTACAGATCTTTGAGAACTGCCCCGGGACAGTCACGCTTGCAAACACTCCTGCTACTAAATCAGCTGCAAATGGAAAAATGCATAGGCTGCCCAAAAAAGAAATATTACTACCTTTTTTGGATGTCCATGATTATGATTGCAATTTCTCTGCTTATAATACAGAATCATAGAAAACACGGGCAACTGGTACCTCCTGAGTCTGGGAGGGCACCAGATTGCCGGCTGGGGGTGGGTCCGGTTTTGTGGCTGATGCTTCCAGGGGGTGCACAGCTGATCTCAGGGGGGTGCACGTGCACCCATGTGCACCCCCTATGCATTGCCAATGATAGAAAATTAGGGTTGGAAGGGACCTCAGGAGGTCATGTCTAGCCCAACTAGATCATTCCAGGCAGGGATGATATACCATTTTATTTTGGGGACAGAACAACAATACTAGCAAATGAATGTGCAAT